GATGTCGAGAAGAGAAGATTGCTGTTTGCAGTCGACCATGTTTCGCTAGCATCTGCTGAGACTGATCAACAACGCTGTGGAAAGGTTTGCAGCCCAATGCGACGCAGCCGACATGCATGTGAACGTATCTAAAACGAAATGCCTAGTGCTTTCGCGTCCCCCTGCCTGTTGCTCCCTTCTAATAAACCGAGAAGCAGTGGAGCAGGTTGAGAAGTTCGACCACCTCGGGAACGTGCTTATTGATTGAAAATGGGAAGAGATTCACCGGAGACGAGTCAATGGGCTCACGTGTCTCAACATGGTTCGCAGAACAGATATCTTAGACAGTCTTGGTTTAAAGCCACAGCGAAGGTTTGAGCACGTTATGAGAAAGCTATCACGAAGGCGGAATAGCTAATACTTCTTCGACTCACAGACTAGAGATGCGGAAGACGACCAAGAATGTTTTGGTCAAGTGCCCCGATGAACTCTGCTCCACATTCGGGTTATGTTTTGCCGAAGGTGACACAGGCGCAGGGGAGGGTCATTTGAGTGCATACCTGTCTTTTGCCGACTACCCGTCTGACTATTTAAATCACTTCTGAATTTCAATTGAAGATTTCCAATAGTATAACCACGGTATAAGCCCACCACTCGGCTTTTAATAAACTGAAGTCGCTGAATCTGTCACATGCAGAAGCATGCATAAGAAACAACGCGTGGATACCAGAGTATGCACAAATACGAACCAACATTCGAATTTAGAACCAATCTATTTTATTGTTAGCCGGGTACTTACGTACCAGGCACAAGTTGGAGAAAACCTGATATACCCGATATTAATCTTTCTCATACTGAACTTTTCTGACTTCAAAGGCAAGCCCTTTACGCAGCACAACTAAAGCATCAACTTAGGGTATTATTCCTGCAGTTATTCTAAATCTGTAATGAAGATTTGGACAGTTCTTCTATCAGTAACACTTCAATGTAAACGGCTTTCTAGTTTTGATACAAAACACCGTTTATCACAGCTGCAACAAAATATCTTACGTTTAAGGTGATGAAACAACAATTATCGAACTTGAAATAACTTAACATATTCAAATCGCTCTACGATTTGCAAACGCAAATGTACTTACAGTATATACCACTCTCCAGTACATAGGACACGCGGTCATTTTCATTTCCGTTCCACGACCGTTTTGCTTAAATTAGCTCGAGCAAAACCCCGTTTGTAAGATTTCAGCCAATATTTGTCTTTATTCATTTTTTGACTACCGGTTATACATTGTGCTGGTTTTTATTAATCTATCAAGTAAGTGGATGCAAAATGTAGCTGTAAAGTGTGTGCATCTAAAATCAAGCTCGTATGACATGTACGCTCTCATTTTACCACACCGGAGAACCCTGCTTCATTTTTGTTTAGCTTTTGGTTTCAACGATCTTCTGATTGTCACACTGGATTGTTAGCTGTGAGGTAAGTCAGGGAAAACTATAGCCCTAACGTTTGCTCGCAGCAGAGAAAATAACCATCCCTCTTGCCTACACTGCTGTGACCATACCAGAATATCGTGTCTTGCCTTGCAACCTTTTTCTCCGCTGGTTGCACAGAACGAAGGTGAACTGAATTACCAAAGGAATAGTAATCAATAGAAAAACTTTTTTCTGAATGGGCACATCTGGAGTTCGAAACTGACCTCCTACCACGACTGTTGGTTTGTCATATTGTCCTGTTAATCACAATTCAGTGAATTGCTACCCCATTTTTCGGTTTTTCATGGTGAATAATATTTGGAGAGAATTCTTTGTTCAGAAAATTTAGTTGTTGTAATAAAAAATATTACGAAACGCACTGGACTCTGATTTAATCTCAAGTGCAAGGAAACATCACAACCAGCTGACTCACTTTTTTCATTAACCACATTGTGTTTTCAGTACTGAGTATGAATGTCAGTAAACGAATAGGCCATGACCAGTTAGTTTATAGCCTATAGCTTGCAGATGTTCCCACCATTCTACTTGCTTGCCTTAACTTATTCGTATTTAGTCAGTCAATAAGTATCGATTAGCTCTCATCCTTTCGGGTCATGGAGGCAGACTCATTAGAAAGTATTTCCAATGTGTTTCAACGTTTCAGTTTTTGCGGAAAAGAACTCGAACCCTGTGCGTGATATGTCGAAACTTGCCTCAAATCATTCTTGGCCGTACCCAGAGGTTTCACTCCGTCGGTAGAGCAACTAGAAGCTATTTCGAATCTTTTCTGGAGCCATTCGAAGGACCTGCCAAAACTATGGCAGCTCTAAATTACCATTCAGCAAAATTATCGGGGGGGGGGGGGGGGGTACACCAAGAATCT